AACATTCATGGGTTCGAAGTGGTAGGTTTATTCTACTTGTAAATACAGAACTTTCTAGGTAAATGTGTGAAACAAGTGAATTCTGCAAGTATGCTACAAGGCAGCATTTTACACGTCAATTTTTTAAGCGAACGATGAGATCGACATTTCCTTACTGCCTCGACTGACTGTCTGACTTTGGGAAGCAATGCCGAAATAATCAGAGGTCAATGTAAAGATTTAGGATGATGATGAACACTTTAATGTTTAAAAGGTATATTTTACTTGAAAAAAAAATAGAATGGTAACTATGATCTCCATAAACCGCCTATTCCGGTATTGATAAAAAAAAACATGATAGACAGTTCATCACAATAATTCACACTATTAAAACCGCTGTAGAGTAAATTATTCTACAAACTATCCCAACAACAATAATGTTAAAATCAACAATTTAAGACCAGAAACAAAATACAAAACAATTCAATATTATTTTTCAACGAAGTAGAAACAAAGGACAAATTGTATAATACAAACGTATATGAACTCGGCAAGTGTGAACCAGAATCGACCTTTCGCAAAGTAGGGCAATACATACTGCCACCCTTTCCGACATGTGCCGAGACCATAAATTACAACGCGCACCTGTAAGTGCTAGATCATGCCTAGATAAAGAAATGTATATGGAACTGATTTATGATTTTGTTATATGCACTTTGGGATTACGTTTCGGATGTTATGAGTTTGGTAGCAGTGGAGTGTTCAGTGATGTGTGATTTTGAGTCTTATTGTTTAGGTGATTTGATCATGCTGTAGACTTGAGTAGTCTTTTGAGAATGTTAAACCTTTATGGCTATGTTGTTTGAGTATATGTTAGTAGAACAGTAACTGTCAAATAAAAAAAAACTTGGGTTGATTTTCTGAACTTCTGCACAAATGACGTGGAAGGAGACGCTAGACGAATGAGGGAATACATTGTCAATGTGACTAACGTTTGATAACTTATGTCTAAATTCATCAATAAAGATAAAGTTTTTACTGCATACATACGATACATATACAAAAATATTTTTTTTACAATTTTTGTTTGTCTGTTTGTACTGGCAAATATCTAGAATGGCTGGACCGTTTTTGACGGGACTTTTATTGGCAGTTAGCTGATTGACTAAGTAGTACTAAACAAAGACTACTTTTTTGAAGAAACTGAAACAAAAAAATGTCTTAAACATCATATTGCACGCGCATGAAGTCGCGGGCAACAGCTTATATTAATACTATAATTGACAAATTTTACAGATTCAATATGACACATTTTTATCATTATTTTTTTGATATTCATATATTTTGACATTCGTTCATAAGCACACGTAAAGGCGAACAGGCATAGTTCAAACAAAAAGGATATACAGACGAGTTAATCAAAACCATACATTAAAGTGTACAACATATGATTTATAATAGAATGCACTTCAGGATTACGTTCAAAATTTACGGCTGTAAGGTACATTTCATTTAATAGGATTAAGCAAAAATGTGTGTTTGTAATCGGATTGGTTCCAAGTGTTTTATTGTGGGATTATGATAATACAAGGGTAGTGCTTATTGTTTGTTTTTGTACAGATAAATGGGATTATCTAATGTCCCATAGACCCTTGCATATGTTAAGGTGGGGTCTCCTTTGCCGTGTTATTGATTTTATTTCACTATTTTTGTTTGAATCGAAATCTTATTTAGGCTTTTGTTGATGGACTGCCTCGTTGTTCGAGTGGTCGCAAGTGCGACTGCCGGGCAAGGGGTCTCGGGTTCGATTCCCGGGTCGAGCAAAGTATTACTGAGTTTTTAAAAATCTTAGTAGTAGCACGGAGTCTGGAAATGTGCCCGGTATCTGGGAATAGGCTAATCCCCTATTACATGGGACTTATAACATAAATAGTGGAAAGTGGGTGTTACATTGTACAGTGGCAATAAATGCCGAAATATGCACCTCTGCCTACCCCTTTGGAGATAACATGGCGTGATGTTATGTTATGTTAATTGAGTTATTGTTTTGGATTTTACATGCGAGCGAGCCCATTGTTTATCAAATTGTGAGATTTTATTAAACGTTTTTACTGAATATACTACTTTTGAAAAGTCGGTGTTACATTGTACATTAGCATAATGTGCACCTCTGCCTACCTCTTCGGTGATAAAAGGCGTTATGTTATGTTACTACTTGACTAGTCAAGTCAAGACAGGACTAGCTCTGTAAAACAATTTGTATAATTTTCTTACACACCCTTTATTCATACATCTTTCTCACAAGTCCACTATACACACACATACAGTTTATCGACGAGGGCTCATCACAGCACAAGGTCGCCTGTAATATTAGTTGGGTAGACCCAAAATTAATGTGTAACTTATAATCAAATACCGATCAAAATATCACACATAAACCGGATTATTCGCAACTATAAACCGCGTTACAGAGAAGCGTAATAATATGAGTAAATTGTACCAAAACCTATCATATACCCAGCGACATCAAGGGCCAAATTAACGTGGAAATTATATTCAAATCACTGAGCTGTGAACCTTAGTACACTTGTATTATAATACATAGTTGTTTGGCAATAAAACTATATTACTGGGCACATTTTGTTCGCTCCGTATAGCTTGACAAATATATATACAGGTGGTTAATGTTTTGGATTATCGAGTATTCGAAATGTTGGGAATGTGGAGAAAAAGTTGGGAAAAGTTTGCAGACAAAATACGTTTACAAGGACGTCGCGAGAATATTGATATTAGTCATTTTGTTAATGTGCGACCTTGGGAGAGGCGGTTGAAATGTGTCTGAATATTTATTCTGTAATAAAAGTGATAAATGTATGTATGTATTGTGGAATTCCGTATTTCTATTTTAAATATGTGTCGTTTTTATTCTAATATGTTGAATATGTGGGATTTTTGTTTGGTGTCGTAAGTCAGGCGTGGTTTCATATTTTATTAAGGTCAGTCAAAAGAAAAAATCATTAAATATTATGAGAATATAAAAGAAAATCTTCAAAATTTTCATTTTAATACGGTAATTTTGGTGTTATATCAATATAAAAAAATGTTTTTATAATAACTATCGTGAGACATACTAAATTAAATAAAATTGCGGGTTACTCACATAAATATACTGAGAAAAGCTCTACTAGTTTTGAATCATAAAGGAGTTCTTCCTCATAAGATAATAGAGCTTCTTTCAGTATATTCACATGAGTAACCTGCGATTTTAGTTAAATCAATATTTTATCACTGACGAGGAAACTTATAAATGGGCAAGGAATCTATACAGCCTTATTAAGGTTTAATTAAGGTAATTAAAATATGCAAGAAGTCATTTCTTTTACTGGCTTTTCTATGTCAGGCGATTAATTACTTTTTAATAACCAAGTATCGAAGCTTATAATTAAGTTCCGGATAAGTCAATATTGTTCGTGTAAATCAATAATTACAATTTTACCTTTTCATTAATTTACGGCGTAAAATATTTTTTGTGGTCGTATGATGTTTTAATGATGCGGTAATTATTTATTCGCATTGAATTATTCTGCGCATGCTAGTGACGTGGCTAGGTTAATTTTTAAAATTTGGTTTAATAAATCGTTTTAATTTCTGTGTTGTACGAATATTGCGTCAATAATAAATAAATCTCTACAATTTTAGTATCCAAAGAAAGTTTTCAGTAAAATCAGCGAACTTTTAGAAGTAAAATAATTTTCTTGAAATTATTAGATATGTTTTTGTATTTTTACACGAGTAATTAACATAGGTAGGCCTACCTAAATATGTAAACATTAGATTAAATTTGAATTGCACTCAAACAATCGCCTTTTCTTCACTACTTACCTACTTTACGTAATGAATAAATCTCTCCACTTTACGTTTATTTATAGAACGAAACAATAGAACCCCCTGTACACGCTACAACAATAACTTTGAGAAGCGTTGAAATTATGATTACGCAAACGCAAACCGTCTAAGTCTCTACAGGTAACGGGTTACGTAAAAGTTTGCTACTACTAACCGTCGTATTGATTAGCATAAAATTTTCTTACTATTATTTTAATGAGTTCCCGCAAGCGAAACGTTTACCTTAACGTTTGAAATAACTTGGAACGGTAAATAAGTAGATGCTTTGTTGTAGGTATTTAGGTCAACTGCAAAAAAATGCAAAGGATTATAAATCGTGAATATGGACCTTAAATACTATTTCAGAATGTCGCATATAATTCGAGCAAAGGTTATATTTCTACCAAGCATTATTCTTGTATCAGATTGAATTGAAAGGTATTGCAATTATAAGCTTGTTCTCAGTAGATATTTCTGCTTTGTGACTCAGATATCAAAGCATTTGGATTGTATCTGTAATTCTAGATGGCGTTGTATCCTTCAAGAATTTCTGTACAAGCATCAAAATTAGTTGGTACAATCAATCTGATCACTTTCTGTTGGTTAATAAACTGCAAGATTGGTTCGGTGGCTGGGCATTCAGCTGCCCTGGAACATGTAATGATTTCGATTTCCAAACGTAGCAACTCTTTGTGTGATCCATAAATTATGGTTTCGGGTCTGGGTGTCCTGTATTTGTGAAATTGTATCTTTGTAAACGCACCCACGATACAAGACAAAATTAGGATTTTCTCCTTGTCTTTAGTTGTAGTTATCTTTAGTTTACTTTTTCCTTGATATTTTCATTTATCCTGCATCTTTATTTCACTTGCAAATAGAAACAAATTCATATAAGGTCTGTAAGGAGAAAATTAGGATTTTCTCCTTTAAAAGATATCTTTAATTGTCATCTGATGAAAAAGTTAATGATCAGTTTGTCAACTACGTCAACTTGATGTTGCTGTTAGAGCGTTGTACCCAAATAAACTCCTATGTATGTAACCAACACCTAAGTCTATTTACTCACTAGATCAACGAGTAACAACCAAAGCTCTTTCTATTTCCAAAAATATTCAAAGCACATTTTCTTGTTACAGATTCAAACGCAGTGCAGTGAAATCACGAACAAAATGTTGTGACAAACACGCGAATCGAACGGTGACTTAAAAATGTGTCACCCGAAGAATTCCCTAGATGTGACTAGTAGAACATTTCTGTTCATAATAGTGTTACTGTCTCTAAAACTCTGTAGTCCCCAGGACTTGAACGAGGAGTTTGTTAACGAGGATAGTATAGAGACTTCTGATATTAGTATAGTGCCAGTGAAAAAAGTGAAGTTTGCTAGAAATGTTGGTGAAGTGACGCCATGTCGTATGAGCGAGCTGCTGTGCGATACTGGTCAGTGTATCTCACTGGACAAGTACTGTAATGGAGAAGACGACTGTGGTGACAAAAGTGATGAGCCAAAGGCCTGCACACGTAAGTACTTACATAATATAATAACATAACATCATAACATCACGCCTTTTATCCCTGATGAGGTAGGCAGAAGTGCAAAATCCGACGCTTAATGCCACTGTATAGTGTAACACCCATTTTTCACTATTTATGTCATGAGTTCCATGTAATAGGGGGTGAGCCTATTGCCATCAACCGGGCACACTTCCAGACTCCGTGCTACTACTGAGATTTTTTTTTAAATCCAATAATACTTTGCTCGACTCCGGAATCGAACCCGAGACCCCCTGCCCGGCAGACGCCCTTGCGACCACTCGGACAACGAGGCAGTCAATAATATAATAACTGTAGTATTATTACGTTTATTTCAAAGTTACTTACCAACCAGTTTAGTTGCTTAGTCTCATGACGCCTCGATTATGATAATATCGTAAATAACAAAAAATAAATTATATTAACCCTAACCCGAACTCTTAAAAGTTATGGTTTTTGGCAAATATTTTTATTTTAGCTTGAAATCGACAGGTAGTCAACCTCCCCATAAAAAGATACAAAAGTTGACAGTTATGATATTGCTTCCGAACACACCCCTGACGTCACTCGGAGAATATTTTCCGTCTTTGCGAAATTATAAAGTCCCCGAACGTAAAAGACATTGACTTATCAAGTATGTGACTTATAAAGGTAATTTTATGTGGAGTGAAAAAGTCGAACTCCTCATAACAAAAAGGCGTGCGAATAAATCTTTCGAAACTCATTTTAGGTCATTCAAACGCATTTTTAATATGTCTCCCCTTCTCGGTTTGCTGACATCTGTCACAAAAGAAAAGGTAGTAAAGGAAGGCTAAGGATTGCGGGCTATACAACGAGCGTTCTACAATAACGAGGAAGGAAAGATGGAGCATCTTTTATATGAATGTTTAGGTATCGTGTAATGATTTCTTTCGATACTTACTATTTAGATAGTTGTCTTTAGTTTACATTTTCCTTGATATTTTTATTTATCCTATAACTTTATTTCACTTGTAAAAAGAAACAAACTCATATAAGGTTCCTTATATAATATTAGGTCCATAACTTAAATTAAAGTTTATGATACATGTTCATTATATTATTATATATATATGATACATTTTCATCATATGATACATTTAAGTCGGAATAGCGTTTAATTCATGTATTAGTTTATGATGGGGCTGGCGTGGTCGTATTGTGACCAAAAGCCCCTAAATATATAACAGATATGAAAAAAAAAAAAAGATACATTTTCACATGTAAACCTGTATATATGTATATTCTGAAAAAAAAAAACAATCATGTAGGAATTAAGACGTCAAGTAAATATTACACTGATATAACATTGACTTAATAATAAGGAACTTATTCACAATATGAAATGTCTGTATTCACACAAATCGCTCATTTCCTAGCCTCGAATGCTTCGTCGCATGGCAGTGGAGTGGCTGTGTCAGCGATGGACAGACTTGGCTCCCTTTTGCCTTTTATGTAATATTCATCCCGGCGAGTTATGCGGGGACTCCGCCAAAACATATTATACAACATGTTTATGGATTTACGTAATCGTTCAGTTCGGCAGTTCGGTAGTTCGGTTAGTGCGTATCGCTTCTGCATTATTTTGTTACTATTATTTTGAACTTTATGTTGAAGTACGTGATGTTATATTTATGTAACTACGGTTATGGGATGGATATTCAATATGTTGTCGTTTATCTGTTTAGTTGTTGACTGGGTACGAATAAACTGTCAAACACCAAGCGGTCACCGGTGACCGCAACCTTTTGTTCTTTAATTGTGTCTATAATGACGGTATTTGACGAGATAAAACAGTTTGGTATTATTTTTTGTTTCTGTTTGTTTAATGCCGGAATACTGATAGGCTACTCAATTTCAACTTTGTAGTGACAATTACCTCTCCCTACCTTACCAAATCCTGAGTCTCCAATAATCCTCAAATTTCTAATCCCAAAAGGCCAATAACGCACTTGTAACGCCACTGGTGTTCCAGGTGTCCTTAGGCGACGCTGATTACTTACCATCAGGTGATCCGTCATTTCGTTTACCGGCTTATCCTATAAAAAACTGAACTATACGCATGTTAAAATTGAGTAGCATTTGAGTATTTTGACGTTAAAGATAGTTTCTTAAAATCTGAAACTTATATACATAACTTAGATCTGAAATTGACAAAGTATTGATGAGTCATTGATTTAAATATTTCGAAATTTTTAATATTATTTTGTCTAGGTAACGCGAAGTACGGAAATAAGTTCACCCTCTATTATGAAATAATATGAAACAAGCAATAAAACTGACGAAGTGTACTATACTTTTACTGGCACAACACCAAACGTAATATCTATCATAGTAAACACAATCGAAATACTACTTTACGGCTTTCATATAATATTTACGTCAACTTGAAGGTATGGGTCACAGTACGGACTGTGACCCATACGGTATTACGGTACCGCTTCCCTTTTATTTCTCTAACCTATAATATGAAGCGTCAGCGGTCACAAGTTATGACGCACCTGACCCTTTTTGAAGGACATCACTAATAGGTCACCACACGTCCTTGTTGTGTGAGTACCTTGATATTTCTATGCTATATATTAGCGATGTCCGCGATTACGATCGTGTAGATTATGAAGTTCTATAAAATAAATATTTTCTCATAACCTAGGTAGGCTAGGAAAAGCTGGCTAGGTAGGTATACCTACCTATCTAGGTACCTCTAATAACCTAAGTGCCAATAAAAATCCCGTCAAAATCGGTCCCGCCATTTCAGAGATTAGCCAGAATAAACAGACAGCATACATTTAAAAAAATCTTATTTTGGTGTGTGCATCGTGTGTCATGTAGTAAAAAGTAGTATTTCAATGTAACAAACAGACACTCCAGATGTATCGATGTATATATTAAAGTGTTGCAAAAAAATTGTGTTGTATTGTGTCATAGTGAATCATACTGTTTTCATATCAATGAAAATATGATCCTTAGACCTGAGCGCATAAGGATGAATGATGCAAAATAGAATTATTTACTCTTTGTCAAAGCAGTACCATCATTGTAACGTTGTCATATCTCTGTTTACAAGACACTGTTAATAGTTTTCTAAATTGGTTGTTAGGTTTATTTTAAGAAATAGATAAAATTTAACCATCGTTTTGGAGAAAACAGTACAAAGAAGGATCTAAACTATACAGGTTTTGTTTTCATAATAACCATCTACAATATTTAAGCATCTAGCTACTAAACTCAAGGGGGTATTTAGTGGTTCATACAATGCATCGTTACGTACCTTATCGAATTACTTTCTTATATTATGATTTTCAACACAGTAAGCATTCATACTCTGAAATTTGTATTATTATTTACTGTCAAGACAAAAATGTTAGCAGAGGTATTGAGGAGCTTCAGAATGTTCAAAGTGCAATGAAAGCCCATTCATAGATCAACTGCGACAAAAATAACTTACATCAAATGGTTGGACTGTACGACTGTGTCGGCCACAAGTCTCTGTATTACCACTGATCCTGAACACAAATAAATTCTCTAGCACGGCAAACCTTAATCTGCTTCGCACAGTTTCACCAAAATGGTTCTCATTCCACGCTCGTAAAATACGTTTTTGTTCAAGGAATGTCTGCAACGATAATTGTCTTACACAAAAGAAGTGAAGATGTACTCACAAAGGGAATTGAAAGAAGTAGATTACAATGAGTTTGCTCAGTTCTTTCTCTCTTGGGAGGCGGTGCATCAGTCTGATGCAGACCGCAGAACGAAGTTAGGAATTACATTTTTATTGAGCAAACGGTATAGAAATTGTACAGAAACAATGGAGTTGCGTTTTCTGCGCGGTGAATTTCAAATATTATGAGTATGTTTGGAACACTGCAGTCGTTTTGCTGGTCATATCTATACGTGAACATCCCTTTGTCTAAAGAAAACTAAATGACATTTAAAATTTAACTATTCTAGTTTACACGATTCATATTTTTAGCATTAATATAATGCTTTCTAAGGTAATCGATGTATCGATACCCGATACTGATCAAAAATTTCTACACGCTAGTCGATACCCATCGAAAAAAGTTACACGCATACAAAGTTAAACCATGCCTAATCAATGTTAAATCAGTGTTCAAATCCAAGGTTTTCTACACAAACATATAATTTGTGGCTGTGATTTACGAGAAAAATATAAATATACTAACAAACCAAACAATAGGGAGCACAATGATTGTTCCTATGAATATTCTAGCAGGTTAAACACACACGGTTCTATCTCGATGCGAGGTCCGTGACTAATGATACTCCATTTTGTAAACACCGCTACGGTAAACTTAACACCTTATTAAACGCAGGTTTTTTTGTTAATTGTGGCTATATTTTGGCTTAATGACCACCTACGTGGGCACGATAAAATGGAAAGCTCGTTTTCAGGCGGTCGCTATAATTAAAGAAGGTTTATTGTACGCCTCAGACTTTGAGTGGTTGCTATTAAAATTTAGCATATATTCCTTTTAAAGGCCTTTCTTTTTGTATTTTCTAATGAGTTAAAACTGATATGAGGTTAATTGGTGGAATTTTTACAACAATTATTTATTATTATTGTACTATTATACATAACTTTCTAAACACCATCGTTTACTTAGCGCCGGTTTCACTACCTCCATATAAGTACCTGATAAACTTATGTGACAGATAGTTCACACAAATTACGTACTTAATTCAAGTTTATCTGGTAGATAACGGCTATCTCTAGAGGAGGCCTTCACCTTCGAGAACGAGGGGTTCTTACATAAATAATAAATTATATAAAAATAGTTAGTTAATTTTAGAATTACAGATTAGGAATAGATGCATAAAATTAGAAATACCTAAGTTTATTTTTGTATTTTTTTGTAAGAAATATAAGTCTTTTTTATTTTATTTTTTATTTATTTATAACGGCTATCCAGGCATTGTGAAATAGGCCCTGTAGTCTATTATATTTA